GACATTTTTTTAAAAATCTAAAAGGTTTATAATTTTACAGTTTAAATTATAATAAAATAATTTTTATTTTTATTAGATGAATAATAGCTCTTAATTTTTATTTTTATTAGATGAATAATAGCTCTTAATATTTAATTTTTTTAATTTAATAATTTAAATTATATAATATTTTATTTAAGAAAACATCTGAAAATATAAGAAACAAGTTAAAAGGAAAAAAATGAAATAAATGAAATAAAAACCATTGTTGGCAGTTTGCCAATAACGGTAGTCGTGCTCCAGTGACTAATACTATCATAGGCGTATGGACAGTGGAGGCTTTGATTGGAGCCTAAAAAATTTAAAATCTTAAATATATGTAATTTCAGATATGAAAAACAGTTAAACAGAGTCCATCCTTCAATTCTAAAACTCAACTGTTAGGTATTGTTTGGATTGGAGGTTTCGGACGGAGAGGGAGGGAAAGGGATGGGGATGGATGGCAAGGGAGGGGGAGCGAGGGGGATTGTCTCCTTCCGTTTGGATTTTCAAAGAGGCAGAAGGGGAAGCAGATGGACTGATTCGGACTCCCTCCAACCACCCTCAAATCTGCAGATTTGTAATCCGTCCGATTTGGGAGGTTTGGGAGAGATTTGAGTGACTGCTTAAATTAAGTTAAATGTAATTACAAAATTAACCTTAATTTTTTTTATTATATCTTTCTCCATTACAAGCTTAAAGGATAAATTTGTAAATTTAAAATTAATTTAAATCTTTCCCTTCCTTCCATTCCTTTTACCTTAATTATCCAAACATAAAATAATACAATCTTTCCCTTCCCTTCCCCTTCCTCATTTTTATTTATCCAAACAAAATTAACACAAATCATTTCCTTCTATTTTCTTTGCTTCCCTTTCTTTTCCTCCCCCTCCAGGTCCTTTTATTTTCCTCCATTCCCCTCCCTTCCCTTCCCTTCCCTTTACTATTTTCTATCCAAACAAGGGCTTAAGGAACGATCAGGGGATAGGGGAGGCCAGCGTCATTCAGGGAAGAGATCGAAGACGCTGGGAAGGTGTTGTAATAGCTGGTGCTGGTGCGGCCCAAAAGTCCTAACATTCTAAAATCTAAATCCACTTAATCCTATAAAATCTAAAACCTAACCTTCTAAAAAATTAACTCTAAAATGGCTAAAGGCTAATGTCTCAAACAGGGGTGGAGTTAGAATTTTTTTTCAGGGGATAAGATAATTTTTTATATATTAATTTATAAAATTTTTAAATTTTAGAGAGAACGAAATAATTTTTCATATATTAATTTACAAAAATTTTTAAATTTCAAGGGGGCTAACCACCCTGGCACCCTCTCCTCTCCACCACTGGTCTCAGACTCTAAACCAAAAAATAAAAATGAAAACAAAAAGATCTAAACCCTAAAATATCTAGTAATTCTTAAACCCTAAATTATCTAAATTATGAATTATAAAAATTAATGGAGTAAAATAAATTAAATTGTTGAGAATTTTTTTTATTCTATACTTATAGGGCATAGGTTAAAGCTTTTTTTATACCTTTTTATTACTAAGATACATAAAAAATATAAAAGTGTATTAATTTTATTAATTATTTACTAATATAAATATCCACATAATATAGGTATTAAAGTAATGTCAACTTTATTTTTTTGTATTAATTAAAGTCTAAAAAATACATTTATCATTACTAAATACATGGACTACTCAAATAGATAATAATCATAAAAAAAAAAACACACACACAGAGTAAAATGAAGGGAAAAAAAACACACAGTAAAATGAAGGGACTCCAGGTTAAGTTGGTACTCCAACACAACTAATAAGCAATTTTTAAGATCAAGTTTGCACAAAAATAGTGAAACTTTAAAATTTAGAACATGTTTTGTGGTATAGATTATATTTAAATTATAAAATAAAGTCTCAATGTTAAGTAACTTAACCCTGTATCATAATTAATGTAGTACAATATAATATAATATAAATTTAGCTGAAACTTCACTAAAATTTCTTGATAGAAATTACAAATCCACAGTAACCGTACCCAGAAACAGAGGTTAGGGCTCCAATTCCACTCTTAGATTCAAGCTCAGAGGAAATCGAGGCCAAAAAAGTCACCAAAATCTCAGAATCAGAGAGAGAATGGAAACCCCCACGGATCTCCTTTTGTGGCTGTCGGCCAACCCCATCCCTTAGTCTCTTTTGTTTACTGTTTTTCATCATATTTATACAAAAATTTCACAAAAACCTAGACTCTCTCACCTTCCCTCATCGTCCGTTCAATCTCTCTTCCCTCCATATCCAC